CTCGACTCTGAACAGCCGCAGTCCTTGTAGCAATGGTGCTCTCCCACAGTGGTCTTCAGGTTCAGATCTCCTGGATTGCGACAAATGAAGGAAACAGTGACTGATGATGTGTTAAGATGGTGCGTGACTCCAGAACTTGATGGCAATGATGTCACTGTGACACTGCCCTTGCCCTTATTGCTATTAATGATAATAATAATAATCCTTGCCTTTGATATTGCGCCTTACCGCTTCCGGTAGGCTGACACGCTCGGAAACCCACCTCCGTGCTTAAGAGTCTCAAAACAGAAAGGGTTTCGCCCACAACTATACAGTCAATTCACTTCACAGTGTATTCTGTGAAGCCCTTTGAGACGTCTTGAAGACGTGATAAGGCGCTATATCAAATGCAAGGATTATTATTATTATTATGAAAACGAACGATTAAAAGCTCCACTTATGTGCCCCCTCTGAACACTTTAGTACAGAAGAAAGTCACTACAAATGCACTAAACGTAACAGTACTGTGAAATCCATTGAGACTTTAAGATAACATAAGCGCTCTATTCAAATGATATAAGATAAATAATATTATTTTACAACGTATTGAAATCTCCTCCGTATCTTTACTCCAGTACTGACGTCTCACTTATGTCACTCAGAACCAGTGACTGTTTCCCTGTCCCTTGACCTCAGCCTAAGTGTCTCATCGCCAGTTATGGTGAGCAGATTAGTTTTGCTTAACTGAGTTTCCTGTGTGTGAGATAGGGTAAGGCATTACAGGGAGATAGCTCGACAAAGATTAGACTATTAATTTAATAGGAAACAATAAGGAAGTTTGGAGCCGAGTTCAGCAAAGGGACTTTTTTACAACTCAAACTGCGTTCAATTCCAAAACCCATCCTCCACGTGGCGATGAGAATGCTAAGACGCGCAGAGGGGAGATCACATCTGGATTGACAAGCCACACTGGTTATAGTGAGGTATGTTACTGGACTTGTCCTTCCTCTACAAAGCGCAAACAGGTTCCAGCAGGGCAGCAGTGGAGTGCTTCAGGCGGTTGTCACTTAAATGGCATGTGGTCTAGACACAGCAAGAGGCTGGCTGGCTCACAAGCTCGGATCAGAGAAAGAAAGCCCTTTGGCCAATTGATCTCATCCTTCCCGAACACCCGTCTGACCAGCTACTGGCCTCCCATCACAGCAGCAAGCTGCGTTTTTTTTTAAAAAAAAATATGAATCCAGTGGCCTTGCTTCACCCAACGACAACAACAACTTGCATTTATATAGCGCATACCAGAGCGCTTAAAGCCACCCTCCCTGGGAACCTGATCCGATGTCGTGCGGTTAACTGCCCTCTGGATCAAGTCCGTCTGTCCTGAAGTTGCCCCTTTGCGACTCTAAATCCCCGCGCCCTCTTGTTCTGCTGCCTGGTTTGGGTCCGAAAGTATCACTCCCCAATTGATGAGAGAGGGGGAAGATCAGCTCTCAATGGGCGGCGGAATCGGGGCATTCGCGCGCCTGGTAAATGCATCCACACCATCTGATTCGTCCACTGCTGCGGGCGGTTAAGAGTTAAGAGCACAAGGACAAGTATGAATTTACCAATCGCTCCCGTGGCTGTGACTACATCTTTGGATACAAACACCAAAGGTGCCGCCAATTTGGCTCTGAGACGCGCAGTGTGGGAGGGGCAGCGAACACCGCCACCTGGTGGCCATCCGGCCTTTGCGTCTCATAGAAATGTACGGCACAGGAGGCCATTCGGCCCCATTGCGAGTCTGCACCGGCTCTCAGAAACAAGGTGTTCATTCAGTCCCACTGACCCCCCCCCCCTCTGCCTCATCCCCAAACCCCTTCAAGTCTCTGTCTTGTAACGTACCTGTCTGGCATCTCATCTTGAAGAACATTGCAGTGCTGCCCCAACACCGCACGACACTGGAGGGTCAGCCTGGAGCGTGTCTTTGTGCTCCTGCAAAGACCCATCACCTTGTTTAAGAGTATCCAAACCAAACCAAAGAATATCCCATGCAAAACCCACCCACGCCTAGAAATAGGTTGTTGAAATGGAACGCACACTCTCGCTCTCGCTCTCGCTCTCTCTCCCTGGACGGTTGCATCCTGCGTTACCTAATTCCGGAAAGTATTAGGAGCAGGTTGGCAAGAGCTGAGGCTTGAGGGTCCCCAGGGTGTGTAGTCAGTTGGGTTAACTGCTAGCAAGAGCTCTACCAACAGAGCCAGGCTGGCACACAAACAGCCTTAAAGTCAATGGCTAGGACCATGTAAATTCCGGAGGGTATCAGCTGCCTTTATGTTATAAACAAAGATAATATTAAATTAAGAGGGATAAGCATCAGAGGAATAAGAGGAATTCCGAAGCAGGAAGAGTTTTGAATTATTCATTTTTTATTATAGTATTATGTTTATTTTGTATTGCAGACATCCAAATTGCCTTGCCAGGATTGCTTTACTACCGGCCTCCATATAAGCGATTCATTGTAATCTGGTTCACTGATAGTACATTCAACTATTTGCTCTGGTGTAAACTGGTCTATCCACTGTATAGTAACAGTATTTATTTATATTCCCACTGTCCTTTGCACTCAATTTTCTCATTCCAGATTTTTATCTTGTACTCTCTGCGTCATAATAAGAAGCCTTGGCATTTGATATAGCGCCTTATCACGCTATTGAGGCGCCTCAAGCACTTCACAGAATATATTGTAAAGTTGAACAAGAGGACATAAGTTTAGCGTTGCAAAGCTCAATTATAGGACACCAGGAAGTTTCTCTTTATATTCCCTAACAACTGGAACAGGTTGTCAGGAAGGGTAGTTGAGGACAGGACAATGCGACCGATTTAAAAGTAACCTGAAGTTGTGATGGGAGGACATCAGGGTGCATATCCTGGAGGAATGAAATCAGATGAGCAAAAGGGCTTTCTTCCTCCCATCCAAACCAATCTTGTGATCTTGCGATTTATTTAACTATTGAAATCACACATATTTACCGGTCGGATTTGACTTTTGAATTTTTTTTATTTTAAACCGCACATACGAAACAAAATGCACAGGTCTGCGTATAGTATACATACAGTTTAAAAAAATTACAAAGCAGGTATTACATAATAAAGCCATTCTGCTGTATAACAGCAATGAACCCTGGGGCCGCCAACACTGCATCCATTTGGCAAGTTCAAGTAGCACATTTCAATCGTTTGAAGGTCAGAGAACCTGCTTCATGTTGATTTTTTTGCATAGAGCTCCGCACAAAATTTGTGCCAGTGCTTCCCTTACTCCCTTCCTCCCCACCCCCCAATCTTATAACAGCAACAATAACAACAAATTGCATTATATAGCACCTTTCATGTCAGGATGACGTCCCATGAACCTGGACAGTCGACGGTTTGCACCCAAGCTGAGGGTTGGAATCAAGAGGGATGGCGGCTAAAGAGGGTGGGGGCAGAGAAGCTGAAGGCCTGACCACCAATGGTGGAGCAGGCAGGGAGACATGGAGCAGACCGGAGTCAGTTGAGTGAAGGGAGCAGACTGGATGGAAAGATGTTAGAAGGTTGCAGAGGAGCAAGACTGTGAGGACTTTGAAAGTGAGTATCTTAAACTCGATCCTCTGGGGAATGGGGAGCCAGCGAGGCTGAGGGGGAATTATTTTAAAAGTCTGGCAATCTCCTATCCCAATAAAATAGGGCTATCAATATTCATCTGATCAAATTTGAGTCATGGTTTGGCTCAGTTACTCCTCGATCGATGATCCTTTGGAGATAACGCACCTCCCCCCTCACACACACATCCCTGAACCCCAACACACAATATAAATATAACAAACATTGTGAAGTTTACAAAAGTCACCTCCTCACGTGTTTCCACAGGGTCTACTCAGCCCTTTCGCAACTGAGAAACAGCCAGAGCAAAAGGACAGCCACCACATTGTGACCACTCGTTGCTGTTTCTGCCACAATTGGGTGAAATATACGAGAAGTTCAGAGAGGAAAAGTGGCTCGTAGCTCAAGAGAGACTCCTGGGGTGACTATCACCCTTACAATTTACATAACCCCTGAAAAGCGTAGCTAAAAATCAATAATTTTCCAAACGGAGATGGGGGGGGTGGGGAACACTTGCCCGATAGTTCCCAACACGCAACTTTATTAGAAAACTATACTTCCTGCCTCTTCACCCTCACAGTGCTGCCAAACCTAAAACCTAAAACCTGTTTGATCAACTGCGATATTTCTAGTGTTGTACAGATAAGTCCTTTACAATCGCACAGGCAGGTTCCCTGAAATGAAATTCGTCAAAGGTCGTGCACTTTAAAAACAATATCAATGGGCGTTTCAGTCAATTAAACATTACCCCTGATTTTATTGTAAACAGATGCTTAATACTAGCTGGACACGATAAAACTTAAAACTTTTCTGGACGGTTTGAGCTGTTGTCTTTTTCTTAAATGTGGCACAAAATTGTGAGCCTATCCCATCGTGAAGTTCTCACTTCTTACCCTGGGCATAGGTTTGGCTTAATTTCTTAGCTGGGAATGCTCCCTAGGGCGCACATTGATGGGAAGGTGAACAACAGGATGCACAATGCACAGATCATTTAAAAAAAAACAGTTCCGACAGATGTTTGAAGTACCGTTTAAGAAGAATACAATATCGGAAACTCCGGTTAGAGCACTCGCTTTGCAAGTGAGAGACCCGAGTTCAATTCCAGGCAGAGGGCGAAACCTTGGGCAAGTTTCCTTACTCCACACAGAGCCTAATAATAATCCCTCCAAAACCAAAAACAACAATAAATCGGTCATTTTCAATCCACAACTGTTTGTGGGACATTGCTGTGCGCGATTGGCTGCCGCGTTCGCCCACAAATATACAGTCAATTCACTTTACAGTATATTCTGTGAAGCGCTTTGGGACGTCCTCCCGACGTGAAAAGCGCTATATCAAATGGAAGGATTATTATTATTATAATTTATATTCTATGCAAGTTAGACGTAACTGATACTTTGCATAAGTCATATTAAATGTATGGTCGCAACTGATACGTGAGGTTTACTGTATTGCAAACTGGACCCCACTGTAAAGTCACTGCACTGAACAGCGAGAAGCATTTGCTGCCCATTACAATAATTCCTTTCTTTATTGCGTGGTGTCCTGAGGTCGGTAGTCTTCATTCAGTAATGCTGGATATTCTACAGTGGTCCACAAGCTCACATTTCAGTCTACTACAGCCTGAGATTCAGTAACATTGGGGAACATGCTGGTGGCGTCTGTACTCTCACACTTAGTGACATTTGAGTGACTGTGCTGGTGTCTGTATCCTCACATTCAGTTAACATTGGGAAGCGTGCCAGTTTTTCCGTGCTCTCACACTGGGTGACGTCCTGAGATTGAACCGCCTCAATTCCGGAACATTTCAGTTTGGTTTGGCTGAGTGCTGCACTCGGCGACGACAGAACTACCGCCTTCAATACTAAAAGCTTCCTATCACAGTGTAGATTTTTGAAAGTTGTGAAACGGCTGACTCTGGGAAATTTACGCCATTCACCTTCATCAAGACGGCAGAGGAAGAGTTCGTCCTTTCACGTTTAAAATCGTGATTGGTTGATTTTTTTCTAAAAAAATAACGACTTGTCCTTCTCCGCTTTGCTCTCAATTTGTGTCATTGTTTTAAAAAAAAAGTGTGAATTAAGAGTGAAAGGTGCATGACCTTCAGGATTGTGTTGTGGCAGCTAAATGATAGTCAATAATAAGTCATCGCCATACAGTGGATCATTCCTGTTTGATTGACCCACAGAACAGGAGAATTTACCTACGATGGCACAGAGTACATGGGAGCATGGCGTCAGACATTGCTGGTAGCAGTGGATGCGGAGGAGGCTGCTGTCAGCTGGTCCCTTCTCGAATACCTTGCCTTTCGAACTAAAATACAAATTTTAACAAAAAAAAATTCATTTTGGTGCTTCGCTACTGATGAAAAGTGCAAATTTTTAAATTTAGAAAACTGAAAGGTCTTGCGAGAAACTTAACAGTAATACAAAATCTTAACGCCTCTAAACATATACAGGCCTAGAATAATTATTGCCTTCCATTGTATTGTATTATATTCCAGCATTACGTTGGAGTTTAGTACCTGAACTTGGAGGGCTCCTTATCATTTCTGCCTGTGGAGGGGGAGGGAAAAAAACAGAATTAAAGTTGTTCCAGAATTAAGGTTGTCAGCCAGGTGTCGCGACACGTGCCTGATGCTCATCAGGCTTAAGAGTTTCTAAACCAGACAGAATTCCAAGGCTGTTTGCCGCCTTTCATGTGGAAATTCCCATTTCTAGAACAAAACTATTTTTTTCACCAGAGGGAACACCTCCTGCTTAGCTATTTCCAGAGATGTCAAGCGCATGTTGGCAAGAGCCAAGGCTGGGTGACCCCCGAACTTGCTTAATCGGCTAAAAAACAAAACCACGCAGTCTGCCCAGCTAACACCGCTATTACCATTAGTTCATTTACACTTTTAGTTGTTAAATGATTTACTTTTCTTGCCATCGCAACGTGTTTCAACTTACCATTTCACTCGGCTGTAATATCGAGGCTGGAAAACAAAAATCAAGTCTTTTGATTAGTATTAATACACCGTTCGCATTGGGTTCTCACTGCTTACCCTCCAAAGAGTGTAGACCTCACTGTGAGGAGCGAACACTCCAGACAATTCCAATTGGAGCTGATTCCAACGGGCAGACTGCAAGCTCAAAGTCCCAGTGTGCTGCTTGAACCCACAGCCTGCGACACCGAGGCGAGTTAGCTCCCGACTGAGCCACGCCGACACAGTCAAGAAAGGTTGACAAGACGTTAAGATATACCACAAACATAACTTTTAAAAACAGATCTAGCGATGGGACGAGAGGAGAAAACTCCCACGCAGAAATACAACACTAATTAGTTCCCGAGTTACCTTTGTTCCTTTGGTGAAACATATGTGGGAGGATGTTTGATCGCTTCGTGTAGAAAAATACAGCGACTGACAGAATGAGGAACAAACTGATAAAAAGTGTTCCCAGACACAGCAAGGCCACAATTGCGGATCTTCCTTTCAGAGGCAAAAAAAAAGACATGAATTAAGTCTTCCTGGAAGTGTAAATGTACATTGCGGAGAGGGTAAGATGACCCTGGTGGTCAAAGAGGCATAAAAGTCCTGAGAGCGTCTCTTGAAAGAGGGAGGGAGAGAAGGGAGGGAGGGAGGGAGGGTGGGAGTTGGAGGGACTCTGGGGATGGAGTCAGCGATAGACGTGACGCAGGCCAGTGTTCGCTGAGCAAAGTAAAGGGCCGGGCCAGTAGGGTTGAAAGGTTTCAAAGTCTAAGAGTAAAAGCAAGATTGTGAACAGCCCCTCATTTTACAGTTAGTTGATTTCCTTACCAATTGTATTGACCGTTGGAACCACAGTGCTGGGGTTCTCTGCTTTCTCTTCATCGCTGACACTTGCTACAACAGAGAGGCTGATATTGAGCGTGTACGCAGATTATGCAACACTATCGCAATCCACACAGTCAAAGAAGTCGCAGGATTGGAAAAACTGAACACTTCATAACTTTAGGAGTAATCAATACTTGCGTTTGATATAGCGCCTTATCACTTTGTCGAGAAGCACTTCACAGGACGGTACTGCGAAATGTAGTGACTGTGTATTTTGCAGGCGAACATGGTAGCCATCGATGTCCACAAACAGCCACCACCAATTTAGTTATATAATTCATCAAATTCACATGAATTATATAAACATATAATCTATGTTTACTTAACCTCTGACTATAGCGAGTAGAATAAGACTGAAACTGCTAATGGGCATTAAACTCCAGCTACAACACTGAATGACAGAGGAGCTTACTCACAGTTAATGCATTCAGTCTGATTAACAGATAATTCTGCCAATGTTCCATTCTTGCACTTGATGCAGGTGCTACTTCCATTCTTAAACCAATGTCTGTAACAGTCTGAAGATGGATAGAAGCACACGTAGAAAGATAAAAGGTGATAAATCCGTTCATGCGATACAAAGCCTCACCACATCACTGAAATGTCTCAAAGCGCTTCACAGGATTTTATTGTACAGTGTAGGTACTGTATTTTGTATTGTATAGTGTAGGTACTGTATTTTGTACAGTACTGGAGTATCAGCCTAGACTATGAGCTCAAGGTCCCAAAATGGGGCTTGAACCCACAACCTTTTGACCCAGAGGCGAGAGTGCTACCGACCGAAAATCAACATCAAAATCTTTATAGTTTCACGCAGAGGTCTATGTAGTCGCCTTCTTTTCTGTTCCAGAAATATTAACATAACTCAGCACTTGCACCTCTATTCTCTGCGGTGCTGAACCATGTCCATTTGCAGGTCATTCACCCCCAAAAGGGTCAGCCAGCGCTTGAGTGAGGTTGAATTTTTTTTTAAAAAAATGCATTCTTTCACTATTTTTAAAGCATTCTTTGTATTGTGTTGTGTTACTTTACACGGGCACAAATGATCACTGGGGGGCAGCACACTCCTCCAGGTAAGTTCCTCTTTCAAACCGTCCATTGAAGCGAGGCCAATTTGTTTTGTAAATTGTAAGCCCTGGAGCTGTCTCTGAGGATTTTGATTTGGTTGAACATTCATTTTCTAGCGTTGGTCTGAGGAGGGCAGAAAGTCCCCAATGAAATTTTTTTTTTAATTTAAGCCAATCGAATCTCCCCCACACCCACCCCCCTCCCTGGTTCACATGTTGGATCACTTAGCCCATGTGGACAAAGCTCCCTTCTCGAAGTGTGTTACAATAGAATCAAATAGACTTTTATTAACTCCCTCCCTCCCAGGAGGATAATTGTCCTGTTGACTTACAGATCACCCAACAATGAACATACCTGAATGGCAAAGGCTGCTTTGCGGACACAGACCGAACTCATCCAACAGGTCTATGCAACAATCAGATAGAAAGAGTGACATGACCTAAAAAAACAAACAGGGTTTGGAAAGAGTGACGCTTCATTCCCAATATTCCAGGAAGTAAAATCTGTTGATCTCACAATGTCAATCCAAAACTAATCACGGCTGATTGAGTCATCGCAAGGTCATCGCAAAAACCTGGTCAGAGGCAAGAGATGTAAACTGTAGCCTTTAGCCACCTGCTCGGATATTTCTTCTGGTTTCATCAGACAAATGTTTAAAAGGCAATGTCGAGCGGAATAGTATTGGGTGTATGAAGTCCCTCTGTTACCTCCACAAGTCACCTACTCACAAGCCCCCGTCAAACGTAACATAAATTGGCTGCTGCGAGACATGTATTGAGTAGCTAGCGATAACAATACCCTTGCTTGCTTGTCTCTCTCTCTCTTTCGGATGCCTTTTGTTGTGAGCCAAAAATCAGGTTTAGATTGTTTTCAAGCCTCGATCTCTCTGCCTCTCCAGCGCCCAACTGCTCTGCTCTTTATCTGCTAGAATGCAACTCAGTTACGTGTAAATCAAAGGCATATTACATAAACAGGTACTTTCACAACATTACAATAATATTACCGGCAATATGTTTTGGACCTGCAAGGCAGCGATTTTGACAAGAATAAAAATGCATTCATTATTCTCTTCATGGAAGTTAATGCAAAGGACCCGAGACTTCGGAGTGTCAGATTGTGACGAGTGACCTCCCAAAATACAGCAATTTTAACTGATGAAATATATTTAGTTTCACTGGAAATCGTGAAGCACCTGACTCCCATGGTTTCCATTCTGCACTTGGATTTTAGGGCATAGTAAAAGGCTTAAAATCGGTTCAGATGAAAAAGGCCTCAACACTCGACTTGAACTCAAAGGGGAAATTGGAGACAGGAGGAAGTACTTTACGGAAACAATTTCCGCAACTTACAATGACAATGCAGAATTGTTCCAATCCATGCTCTGTGCTGCACCTAAGAAGTGCATTTTTCCAACCAATGGAATTATCGTGAACCCATTATTAATGAAACACTGTTCCCTTTGGTCAATTCGCCCGAATTCGTAAGATTGCAACGATTTAACTTGTCAAACTTAAGTAATGTGAAATTGATCTGCTGCACACCGAAAAAATGAGATGGTGCCAGGATTACGATGAGCGTTGTTGGGAGTTCTGAGGCGAGATCAGTGGCTTTGCAGTGAGGAAGGGAGTCACCCTGAGCTACTCTTGCGTGGTTACAAGCTCCCAGGACGCTACCCCACGTGGTTGTTGTTGTTATAGAAGTGGAGAGGCAAAGCTAGACCAGGGATACAAACTCCCACCCATGCTTTCAGCCACTCTTCAACTGTACTTTTTGCTAGCTATCCCCCCCCAACCCCCTTTCCTCAATGCCGCCCAGCCAATGTTATCCCCCCTCCCTCCCCAGTTTGGGCTCCTTGTCAGCTGCGTGAAGCGCACTGAGACGTGCTCAACATGAAAAGGAGTAAGTGGAGGCTTTGAAAGTTGTTAGGTCACCCGCATGGATCAAGTAGCTCTGGCAACATCATTAACAATCTTCGTTTCAAATTGAACCTCTTTTTCATCCAAGTCATTGTTTAACAGGCCCTTGGAGGGGGTAGTGAGAGGTTAATTAAGTTCGTTGACAAATTGGGTTTCATAAGATCTTTCATACAAATTAATCCCCTCGTGGAATAACAAAGCACTAACAGGAGAGAGAGAATAGTTCAACAAATTAAAAGTTATTTTGTGGCGATAACAAGAGATACTCACGCGTATGCTACTGGTATACAAGAGCTTTGTTCCTCTCCCATTGTGCAAACAGGTTGCCTTTTTGGCTTTAAAGTCAAAGTTTACTGTATAATGGAAGAAAGCACATTAAAAGGCCCCCCCTGTTACCTCAGGCTCGAGTGCACAGTATTATTAAAAGGAAAACACAGCCTACATGGCAGGCTGGTTTCAGATGAATGGAGGGCATGCTCCCCTTGACTCAGGCACTCAGCCTTCACAATTTTCAATGATTCATAACTCTTTGCTTCTGACAGGTTCTCACACGAGCACCTGGAAGTCAGTCAAGATTGAAATATAACTGCCATGGATTAATCTCTCGCTCTCGCTCTCTCTCTCTCTCTCCACTCACTCACTAATTCCTGTAAGGACCATTTCCCACCGTCTCCACACGCCAGTATTTTCAAGGGGCGGCTGCTATTGCAGAACTCGGTGTGGGGATACAAACGTAAACACAACCCTGTATCCCAGCCATTCCCCAAGGTGGGTGGGGGGGGGTATGATCCAGCACTTTTTGTGCAGCATCGAGACATACAGGTCATACGCTCATGTCATGGCCTGTGCTGCTGATCTCAACCGAAGCACTATAACTGACCCCTGGGCTAAGGAGGGGAAAGTCGACTGTTGTCTGAATCCTAATGGTTATGCAGTGACCTCTGCACATGGGGAGACATAAAGGCCAGCTATAACGCTCCCATGGGAAAATAGCCAACAGTTAAGTCACTGTCAAAGCTCACTTGCGAATGGTGACTCAAGCAAAGCACAGAGAAACCCTCTCAACTGAACACTTGGCTTTCATTTGGCAAGAAATTGGAAATTTCACTCCCAATTTATAAGCAGAAAGTACATTTTAGCAACAGGCTGGAGTGTGCAGCGGTGCAAAAAAAAACTTGTTAAGGCTGTGACTCATCATGATTAAGATTCTCCATTGGGAATATTGCCCATTTCAGTTGCGCAGTTACTGTAGTGAAGGCACTGAAACACATTCCCCAGACAGACAATCATTCTCGACTTCGCTCATAACCTCCTAATTGTTGCTTCAAGACCAGCGTACGAAGAAAGATTTGGAAGAGGTTCTGCTCTATTGGCTCAGCAATAACACATGGCCCAAGGCGGGCAGCGGGCAAATTGAGAAACCAAAAGAGAAAAACAGATTTTCATGTTTTACATAGAATCTATAAGCACCGAAAGAAGCTAATTCAGCCCAACTCTTCCGTGCCACTGTTTATACTTCATGCAAGCCTCAACCCGTCAGTAGTAATATTCCTTTAACTGGGCTCAATGACAATTGGGCAATCGGTGGCGTGTTGTGTTTAAAACGAACGCTCCCTCAAACTGAAACGAGTCTTATCACAACTGGTCACATGATGGCCTTTCCTCATCACAAAACACTCATTTCAGCCAAACCACAACCCATTGCAGGAGCAGAACGATTGCATAATGCCATAATCTGGTCATTAATCATACTCCCAAACTGTAGGTTCCTTCTTTAATAAAGGCTGCATTGATTAGTTAGCCGCAATGAAGGATAAGTGTTTGTGGAGGAGATTATTTTTCTTATTAGCCTAAAGGACTCTTTGTACTGTATAAATTTGGAAGCATCTCAGCAGTGCCAGATGCTATGTTGCCAAAGTCACTTCAGCCCCTTTCTCTGCAACTGAGCCAGCTGCCAGGTTAACTACACCCTGTCGTTAATTTGGGGGAGCAACAAAGCTGTCACATACCAAAGACTGTGGCGTTTCAGTGGAGACTTGAAGTGCAAATCCTACCAGCATTACGACAAATGGCGCGGCCATGGTCAGTCAAGGGGGAGGGGGCAGAAGTTTCTGTGGAAGAAAGAGACAAAGTTCTTGAGCGCTGGGAGGCGAAACACACAGAGTGTGCGTGACATTGCTGCAGGTATAAGGAGCTCAGCAGGACACTGGCGACTGAGATGGGAACACAAGGAGCAACGTTTAAACAAGAGCCAAATGGTTTGTTTCAGAAAGAGCATATCTTACCTTATTGGAAAGAGGAAGCTGAAGTATTCGAGTTGTCACAGCAGTTCCCTCATAATGGCGGGCCTGTTTGTTGCTAGGTTACTGGGGCCCTTATCAGAACAGAACAAGCACAGCCTTGCTGTTTGTGTTCGACATACACCCGCCCCAAATCAATTTGAGCAATTACAGCTTAACTAGAGGGTGACTCAAAATTTACCAGAAGCTTGAGAACTGATTGCATTATATTAAAAAAAAAGGGCTACGAATGCAGCAGTTTCGAACAGACAGACACTTTAAGTGGCGAAAAAAAACTAATCCTTACTTAGTCCTTCTCGGGTTTTATTTACCAACTGGGACGTAAATGTTTCAGCAGACGGGCTCCATCTGGTATTCTGTCAGATCCCAATCTAATATGATTGCGGATCTTATTTAATCTTTCTTTTCCCTCTCGCTTTTCAGCTGCTGATTTAAAGCAAATTCCACATTTGCAGAGCTTTCTGACGTTGGCACCGAGCACAAAATATCAACGATGTGCAAATTTATTTGACACAAACTCCAGACTTGTTCTGACAAAATCCATTAACCAAATCAAATTACCACGGGTAAATTGTTAAAGTCAGTGCGAGAATGTCTCGGGGTCAGTGCTATAGATTGGTAATGATCAATAAATATTCATTACATTTGATACAGGTCTTTTTAACCATTGGGAGGATCCTCCCTGGAAATTACTCTAAAGTATGGTGAATGTGTATTTTGTAGGCAAGTGTGACAACCCATTTTGCACACAGGGTTATCCCACAAATAGTCAGGAAGGATTCATTTAAAAACACAGGTTGATGCTGTGATGGTGGGGTGGAAATTCTAGAAGGATGAGATTGAATGGACCAAAGGGATTCCTTCATCCAAACCAATGTTGTGCGGTGAATGAACAATTTTATCTGAGAAGCTGCTGGCCGGGACACAGGGCAAACTCCCTCCTCTTTTCGAATAACCCCATGAGATCTTTAACGTCCACCTGAACATGCAGACGTGACCTCAGTTTAACGTTTCATCGGAAGACCAATTCAGCACTCCACTGGAGTGTCAACCCAGACCGTAAATTCAAAATCCTGACATGGGGCTTGAACTTGCAACCTTTTGACTCAGAGGCAGAGGCACTATCCAACTGAGCCAAACTGTCACACACACCTTCACAATGTACTCCATAAACTAAATAAGATTTATTGTTTGACTCTATAGTTTCTATTTCTTTTCTTATACCATCTTGTGTAATGTGAATCTAATCAACATAGTGTACATCAATTACTATACATACCCAGCACAAGTCAGCGATTAACATTGCTTACAGTTCAATTACGTCAAGAATCACCTTTTACTATTACCATTATATTTGCCCATATAATTCATTTGCAACCCAATTACAATATGAAAATCAGTAACAACTTAAATGGGAAAGATGCTTAAGAGTCTTATCTGTCAGGTTTTGCTTTCCTTTTGGGCATTACATGTCTTTTCTTCTGTGCTCTGTTCAATCTCTTTCCTCGTTTATCCTCTATCTTTATCTCCAAACCTCAGTCTTCCTTTGTGTACATTCCCATTGTTGTGTCAGCCTTTTCATGATTAATCACTCAGTTGTCCTTTCCTTTGTCCCTTAGGAATTGTTTTGTCTCCTACATCCTATTCATACTGATTATTACTTCCATTCTAACACTTTCCTGCTCTGTCTTCATTTTTCATTGTCTGGGCTCTAAATACGTATGCTGAATTGTTACTTCAGCCTCTTTTTTGATATGCCGTTTTATTTCCCTGTAAATTTACATGTAATCTGTCATGTATGTGTGTCAGCCTGGCAGTTGGAAGTGCCTCTGAGTCAGAAGGTTGTGGGTTCAAGCCCCACGACAGGATTTTGAACTTATACAATCTAAGCGGATCTCCAATGCAATGCAGAAAGTACTCTAGAATTATCGAACTACACGTTTTGTCCTCAAATATAGTTGGGTAACCTTATAATGCGATAGTGGATATAACGTGGAGTCCTGTAGCATATTGTGGAGTCTGTAACGTATTGGTAAGAGCACTCGCCTCACAAGCGAGAGGACCTGGGTTCAATTCCCAGGTTGGGTGAAATCCTAGGTAAGTTTCCTTACTCCAAACGCTTCTGTTTACCTAGCAGTAATTAGGAATTTGGTTGGTAGTCGATTGGCAGATTCTTTTTCTGGGGGTAGCAATTGTTTATAATTGTTATAAACAATTATAATAATATTTTGGTCAGTCAATCCACGGCTGTTTGCGGGACACTGCTGTGCACAATTGGCTGCTGCGTTTCGCCCACAAATTACAGTCAATTCAATTCACAGAATATTCTGCAAAGCGATTTGAGACGTCTCGAAGACGTGAAACGACACTACATCAAATGCAAGGATTATTATTATAATCAAAATCATCATATTCGAAACAATAAGATATTTCACACTCTTAAACATATGAAATACACTGACATCTAGTGCATTGAATGAGAACTTGGCTGAAGCTTTGAAAACTAATGTGCCCAATTCTTAATTTAACAGAATGGAAGGAGACAGACAAGACAGAATTAAATTGTTGCATATTGTTCCTAGACGTGAATTTAAATGACAGACTAAATTGTCATTTCTCATTCCTACCTTCCCAATTCTTCTGATTCAAATGGCGATTTGAACGACCGTTCTTCAAAGTGACAGATTGTCATTTGCAAACTTTTGCCGAGACATCTGTGTCTTTGCCATTGAAGCGTGGAACGGGGATAATCAGTGCCAAGTCTTTTATATCATATGAGAAAGTGCCTGTAAGATAAAGCAAATGCCAAAATAAACGTGACCGTATTCTGTATTACGATTTGAAACTGCATGCGGTGTTACAACACTACAGTTATCCAATAGTACTTGTTAGGAGATAAATTAATAAACATCTTTCCCACTTATTATGGTTCCAACAAGACTGTTAATGCAAATGCCTAACAGGAACATAGACCTCAGCATTACAGTTATAGCTCTCAGTTTACAGACTGTTGCCAGTGAATCTGAAAGGTAAGACATAGACAATTAGTAGTAAATCGGAATGAAGCACAGGTTAGTTTTAATGAGAACTAGATGGAAATTGGGGAATGTTATAATAATAATCCTTGCATTGATATAGTGCTTTTCATGTCTTCTAGATGTCTCAAAGCATTTCACAGAATATATCGTAAAGTGAATTGACTGTATATTTGTGGGTGAAATGCGGCAGCCAATTGCGCACAGCGGTGTCCCACAAACAGTCGTGGATTGAGCCACCAAATTATTATTGTTTTTTTCTTGAAGGATTATCACCAGGCTTCGGGAGTAAGGAAACTTGCCCAAGTCTTCGCCCTGCTGGGAATTGAAGCCAGGCCTTTTGCTTGCGAGGCAAGTGCTCCAACTAACCACTGAGCTACAGGACTCCTTGTATGTATTGACTGAAATGCATCAAAACTCTGTGCTGAGACTTCTCTTGTCCCTAGTACAGTATATATAAATGAATTTGATTCACACTCAAATTCACACTCAATGTAAGCATTTACATTGCAGACTAAATTAGGGGTACTGTGGAATCAGAGGAGGCAGACGGGATTTTACAAAGAGAGCTTGAAGCCCTTGGCCAAACATTTATACCTACAAGTTCAATACGGAACTGCAGGAAGTGAAAATAGGAGGCGGATGGGATAGAATTTGCCTGAGGGGAAGTTTGACAAAGGGCTTTGATGCTTCATTTGATTGAAGTTTACCAATGTTTAAACAGTATCATGCAAAGTGAAGAGAGTGCTCGTCAAATCAGTTCAGTTTATGCTAAAGCTTGCTCCAGGAGTATTGTTTTGGTCACTGTCACATTACTGGGCCCACCCAGACCTCAGAGGTTGCAGAGAGGAGAGAGCAACAAGACCGATTCCTAGCATTATAGTGATGAGTTTTGAGAAACGACATAAATTGTGAATCTTTGGCCTTTGAAAAGAGACATTTTGAGGTGACTTAATGTGTAAAATGTTATATGGCATAAAGAATGCCAATCCAGAACGATACCTTAAGCCAAGGCAGGAAGACTATCTAAACTAGAATAGTCATGAAAAAAAAGGTCAGCAATTTTTTAACTTTTTGTATTGCTTTTTGTATAGGGACCATCTTCTCTTAACAGGTTTCTAGAACAAAATGCTTCACTTCACTTGATAACAATTTATGATCAACAGCTCCAGTGAAATCTTAATAAGGTCAAAACATTTCTAATTCTAAACTCAGAAAGAACACTTACACTCCATTTAATTAATAATTGACCTGTGTCTAATTACTTTCTTGCTGTTAACTATGCGCACACACACCTGGGTCAATTTTATTTTTGAACAGCTGTAACTACACTGCCAACAGGAATGGGTTATCGAGACCAAGAGTTGATATTGCTGAGGAAGAATAACTCTTTCAATCTACCATTTCTCTCCTCAGTGTTCGCAGCTTACGAGTCACACTGTAGGTATTTCTCAATGATGGTGTGTGGGTGTGTGATAATCCAGTTTTCCTTTAACTCTGATTTGTTTTGCGCTTAAGAGTTTGCCTGAAGGTGAAGGGATGGAATTATAACCTTGGAGTCTCCACAAAGTTTATCAGCCAAGATATTTTGCCAGGAACTGCACGGGTAGGTGGCAGTTAGACAGACGTGATCTTGGAAACAGTTTAAGGGGATCATCTTGTCGCGGCAACTGAGTTTTTTTGCTATTACTTTACAACAACTCTGGTATGTAAAATGAAGTGAAATGACTTTAACAATCAGGGTTATACTTCCCGGAAAACATCTTTGGAAATCATACGCTGGTATACTTGTGTTCCGAACATAAAACATTCTAACACTTAGTGTTCTGGCCAATAATCCCCCAAATGGAGTTGTCCATTCATTACATGGTTGTTTGTCGGGGTTGTGCAAATTAAACGAGCAGATGGGACATCAGTTTAACAACAACAAATTACATTCGTGTAGCGCCTTTCACATCGAGAGGACATCCCAAGGCTGGAGGTTAACATCTCCAGCACCTTAAAGGTTAAAGGACCTCCAGCACCTCCCGACCACTCAGTGCTGTGAGCCTTGCGTGCGATCACAGACCCAACGTACATCTGTGTGTGTCTGCGCGCGCGGGCGGGGTTCACCTCCTGACTCGAGAGGCGCCGGGCGCCACCAAATTAGACATGGCCGACACCCAAAGGAACAACAACAACCACCCGAGATTACATTTGCATAGCGCCTTTCACGTCGGGAGGACGTCCCCCGCCCCAACCCTCCCAACCCCCCTCCCCCCCAACCGAGGCGCCGGACAGCCCGAGGCTGGAAGTTCACGAGCTCAGGAGGGAAAACGTTGGGAAGATCTGAAAAAAAATCGGTTTGGACGTCTTGGCCCCATTGGGGTGGGGGGTGGGTCTCATCTCAACAGGTCAACCGTCCCATCGTAACCCATCGTCCCGTCCCGACCCATCGCCGAGCGACGTCCAGCGGGGCCGGGCCCTTTGCCCGGCAAACCCGTGCCGGTCGTTTCGGGTCAAGAGGGCGATGACCGGGTCCAACGCAAAGGCTTGACCATGGCTGTGGGTTGCATGTCAGACACCTGTCAATCAAGCAACCTGACCCTCTCTCTCCCGCCCCCGCCCCCAAACCATTGTCCGCGCGGTGCAGTGCGGGAGTTGTAGTCCGAGCCGAGACAGAAGGAACCCAGCGTCGCCATGGAGACGCCGTGACGCCGGCGGGAACTACGAATCCCAGGAGGCTTCGGGGGGAGGACAGAGGGGAAGGGGGGGGGGAAGCGGAGGAGAGGCGCGTGCGCGTGCGCACTCCGCCGCTGAGGGAGGAGGCGGGAAGAAAGAGGAGCGCGAGCGAGCCCGTTGCTAGGAGACGGCCGCCGCCGCCCGCTCGCCCGCCCGCCCGCCCGCCCCGGCCCGTTCGTCCGCTCGCTCGCTTATCCGCTCGCTCATCGCCGGAGAGAGGGAGAGGGACGGAGAGGGGGTGGGAGGTGGGGTGGGTGGGGGGGAGGAGTTTGAGAGGAGGTGAACAAACAAAACAAAACAAAAACAAAACAAATAAGTATTACGAACCGGACCCGTTCCTGTCACGAAAGGTGAGGAAAGTTGTCAGCGGGACACAGACAACACAGACAAAAAGAAAAGAAAAGTGTGAGAGAGAAAAAGAAAGAGAGAGACAGACAGACGCTGACAGACGGTCGGAGCAGCCGAGGCGCCTCAGAGAGCGAGTCAGTCAGTCAGTCACTGTCAGTCCCGAGTCAGAGTCATAAGTCATAAGTCGTAAAGTCAAGTTCAGTCCTGTATTTTGGCATCGAGTCAACCCCCACACACGGTAAAAGAAGAAGAAGAAGAAAAAAAAAGAAAGAAAGAGGGGAAGGAAGGAAGGAAGGAAGAAGGAAGGAGAAAAAAAAGAAGGAAGAAGACCAGGTCGGTCCTTTCAAGCCAAAGGACAGCCAGTTATTATTTAATCAGTTAACTCACTCACTCATGTCATGTCATCTCAGGTGATCCTCCTCCTCTTCCTCCTCCTTATAATCACAGTAATGAGATTAACAACAACAACAACAGTAACAATAATAAAAACAATAATAATAACTAATAATAACAACAATAAAACAAAACAATAATAACAATGACAATAATAATATTAACAATGCACCACTTTCTTCTTCTTGCTGCTGTTCCTGCTGATTGCTGTTTGGTTTTTAACAGTCTGTCACCCCCCCCACACACACACACACACCCTCACACCTACCCACCCCCCCCACACACACACCCTCACACCCACAAACCCACACAACCTCACACCCACACCTGCAACTTTTGCTCTTTTAAAGTCTGGACACACAAAAAAAATCAAATCAATCAATCAGTCAACATATAGATTATATATAGATATATATGTGTGTGGGTGTATATATATATATATATATATATATACACTGAAGCAAAGAAATCAGGAAGAGATTTCCTTCCACCTGCTTTTGAGGACTTCCACCTCTCACCTCTCAGGTCATTCCCATATTAATCATTTAGGAAAAGGTTTCAACCCCCTCCCCCAACACTACTTCACACCCACCTCTCCTCTCCCCCCCCACCCTCTCCCCCTCTCTCTCTCTCTCTCTACTCCCTCTCTCTTTTTAAAAGTTCCTAACTCACTCTTTGCCCACACACCCACATTTCCCCCCCTTTTTTTTTCTCACTCCATTCCTAGTTCTCCTCCACCACTACCACCACCACCCTCCTCCTCCCTCCTCCCTCCCCAATGGCTCAGGAGGCTGAGGACCATGATCAGCAGGAAATGGTGGCGGATTTGGGGAGCAAGGACCCAGGTACAGATGTGTACTTGTGGGAGTTGAGTGCCACAGACAACGGGAAAAACAGAGAGACCCTGCAGGAAGCTTTTCGGAAATTTAGGAAGAAACGTCAGGTAGGCACTGTCTCTCTTGCCAGTCATTCATTGCCAGTGCCACAGCTTGCCACTGCTGAGTGTTTTTTTAATATAAAAAAATGATTTGTTTAACAGTCGACACAGTTGGCCTTTCAGGGCAAAACCAATAACTCAGAAGGTTTCAGATAATGGGTGTATTCGTGGTGAATTACATTAACAGCAACAACAATAATAATGGTAATGATAATCCTTGCATTTGATATAGCGCTTTTCACGTCTTCTAGACACTTCGCAGAACATGCCATAAAGTGAATTGACCGTATATTTGTGGGCGAAACGCGGCAGCCAATTGCGCACAGCAGCGTCCACACAAACAGCCGTGGATTGAAGTGACCAATTTATTATTGTTTTTTCTTGAGGGATTATTATCAGGCGTGTGGAGTAAGAAAACTTGCCCAAGGTTTCACCCCCTGCCGGGAATCAAAACTCGTTTGCGAAGGGAGTGCTCTAACCACTTGAGCTGCAGGACTCCACATTACACATCATGGCCCATATAGGGACAGGTTCACGTTATTTGTTTGCAGAAGGCCTGTGGAGTATAGATCTTTTTGAGAATGAGTTGTTTGTTTGTGTATAAAACGAAAACTGCAACATATGTAAGTCATGTTTATAAACACGATGGGGTCGTCTCTTTGGGTGTCAGGTGTCAGTCATTAGGCAAGTTGACTTTTGTTGCTTTTCTTTTCCTACCTCTCTGGTTAACTGCACCAACACTAATTTCAGGGCTCATCAAGTGGCGAGAATTTATTTCAAAACCCGCTCAGTTCATGCAAAAATGGCTAAGCAGAGACATTGGAAATTCAGAAGTATAAAGAAAAAATTCTCATCCTTGTGTCCCTGCTGTGGTTCACGGGACACAGTGCTTGGCAGATTAGAAGGTGAAACACAGAAAATTCCAAAGATGTTTGATTAAGCATTTTATTTTTAGATAAGGCCATCATTTCTGTAGTTGAAAATAAACAAAAAAAAGGCTTCAAAGGGTGCCATATGAAAGGAGCTCTATGTTGCCTTGGTCGATAACAGCACCCAAAGTTCTGACTTCAAATAAAAAGGTTGCTAAACACATTTTCTTAAATCCATTGCTCCACTAAATGTGTTTTTCTGTAATCAATTCAATTCATAAAATTGTATATTTAAGTTTATTTTTAAGTATATCATATGATTGAAGAGTGGCTAGCGGGTAGAAAACAGAGAGTAGGGACAAACGGGTCATTCTCGAATTGGCAGAATGTGACTAGACTGGACACTAAACTAGATGGGAGAGTAAGCTCTGAGGATGATGCAAAAAGATTGCAACGGGATATAGATGGGCTCGGGGAGTGGGCGAGTAGGTGGCAGATGGAATTTAATGTGGGGAAGTGTGAAGTTATTCACCTAGTTAGAAAAAAATAGAAAAACAGATTATTTTCTAGAGGGGGAGAGATTAGATAGTGTTAGTGTTCAGAAGGATTTGGGTGTCCTTGTACACCAGTCTCAAAAAGTTAGTTTGCAGGTGCAGCAGCAACTAAGAAGGCGAATGGCATGTTAGCGTTCATTGCAAAAGGTTTAGAGTACAAGAGTAGGGAAGTCTTGCTGCAACTGTATAGGGCCTTGGTGAGACTGCACCGAGAGTATTGTGTGCAGTGTTGGTTTCCTTATTTAAAAAAGGACATACTTGCCTTTGAGGGGGTGCAGCGTAGATTCACTCAGTTAGTTCCTGGGATGAGGGGACTGACCTATGAGGATAGGCTGAATAAACTAGGTCTGTATTCTCCAGAGTACAGAAGAATTAGGGGAGAGATCTTATTGAAACATAAGATTCTTAAAAGGCTGATAAAGTAGACACTGAGAGTCTGTTTCCCCCGGTGGGAGAATCCATAACCAGGGGTCACAGTCTGAAAATTAAGGGTCAGCCTTTTAGAACAGAGTTGAGGAAACATTTCTTCACTCAGAGGGTAGTGAATTTATTCACTAATTTATTCACTACCCCAGAAGGCTGTAGATGCTCAGTCCTTGAACATTTTCAAGGCTGAGACTGATAGATTTTTAAAAAATAGAGGGAATAGGGATATGGGGATTGGGCAGGTAATTAGATTTAGGTCTGAAGATCAGCCATGATCTTATCCAATGGCGGGGCACAGGCACGAGGGGCCGAATGGCCTACTCCTGCTCCTAATTCTTATGTTCTTATGTTCTTATATCATTATAAAAGTGTTACTATGCTTTAAAACAATCTAAATGGTGTTTTTGTACAACTTCCACAGAGCTGTTTTCCGACTTTAATTAAAAACATTTGGTTGTGATTCAGCATGACTCCTTTATCACACTACAATAATCTGAATGGCTGAAGAAAAGATGATCACTTGATACCCTATTTCAAAGTTTTTTTTATACACAGTCATAGCAGTTCAGATTGTCTTTACTACCTTTTCCGTTTACCATATTTGTGTTCTTTGCTAACGTACAGAAATACATATTGTAATTTGTGTTGTAACTCACACTCGTGTTCAAATCCCTTCACTCTCTGGCACCTCCCTACCTCTCCAACCTCCTCACTCCCCAATCCATCACCCAGCACCTCCACTCGACTGGCACCGGCCTCCTGCTCGTCCCTCGCACCCTCCGCCCCACCATTGGAGGTCGCACTTTCAGCTACTACACCCTGAAACTCTGGAACACTCTCCCTTAATCCCTACGCCTTGCCCCCTCTCTCCACTTTTTCAAGTTCCGCCAGAAAACCTTCCTCTTTGACCGGGCTTACGGCTACAGCCCACCCCGGCTCGGAGTCGGGCTCCGCCACTGTTAAGCTCTCTGAGACGCTACACTGTGTGGAGGGCGCTATATAAGGTCAAATTTTGTTGTTGTAATTGAGTTGCATAGTGTTTCACTCTGATAACTTTGATCAGATGTAGGAGTCCGTAGATGTTGTGCACTACACTGTAAACATTTGAATGTGTGATTCAGTGACTCGACTCGAGGTACGGGTCACACTGAAGAGTGAATTTATCCATGGTGCATTGGAAAAACACCTATGCCGCTTTCTGAATAATTATAACACATGCCTTGGTTGATCTTGGAAATGTAGTAAGGCAGCGGAAATGTACAGATATCTGACCAGCTACAAGTATGGCTGAATTAATCTTACTAATCTGAGAGCAAATTTTGGAGATAGAAAAGTAAGAATATCAGAACAATAAAAGCCAATAGTATTAATCCTTGCATTTGTTATAGTGCTTATAACTTTGAAGCATTTCATAGTTTTTCACAATTAATTACCGTGAAGTGTAGTGACTGTATTTGTAGGCAAATCCTGGAAACGCTCCTTTTTCTTTTCAAGTAGTGGCATGGGATCTTTAATATCCATCCAAATGGGCAGACAGGTTTAGCATTTCATCTGAAGGACGATAGATAGCTTTGACAATGCAGTTGTGGGCACTTCCTTGGATTTCAACAAGAGGGACTAAATATTTTCTTTCAAAGCGGATCTTACTTTGCAATTACAACAATAGCTAGAAGGAATATAAATTAAGAAGTCTGCCTTACAGCCACGGCATATAGAGCTACTGTTTATTCAATAATGTCAATCTGCACATATACCAGTATTTAGTGATGTGGCATCTTGCTGTGAATCTTCATTTGGAAATAGGTGGATATGTCATTTACATTTTGGAACCCATTTATAAAAGAGTAAGATAGTACACCAATGTATGATCAATGCCAATATTTATTCAGGGAACTATTCAGATAAGAATTTGAGCTGTGTTGTTTATCCTATAGTCACAGAACTGCAATTTTGTTGAGGAAAAGAGCACTCATTAAGCTTATTTGAGCACAGCTGAGGTCAGACTGTTGTACCACAATGGATATGGGTTAAAATTATGCTATTCCTAAATACATTCTGGTGATACCAAATAAATAATATAGGAATTGTAGTTAAAATATGTTCATACCTTTGCTGTTTTGCAAGAGTTGCCTTTTACTGCTGTTGTTTGATTTGCTGCTTCTTCGGTCATTAATTACTACATCCCAATATCTTTTGACTCCAGCATGAATTTCATTAGTGTTTGTTATTGTGCTGAATTCTTCATGAGCAACAGAGCCGTAGAACTAGCAATTCTGTGATGTTACTACTGAGCCATTAAAATCTTGCTTATCCTTTTAATCACTTCAGTGCTCTCTCAGCCTGCCACAGATTCTCCGCTATATATACCAAGACTAATTCATCAAGACAACAGTCCTGTCACAATGTAATTCACGGTAATTATTGACATTTCTTGGCAACAGACCCTTGTCAAGTAGAGCCAAATAATTTCAGATTTGCAGCAACAATTTAACTTTATATATTTTATATTTTTAAAAAGTGTGGAATCTTCTGATGTTCACAGGGTATGTAATGTTAGTAGTATACTCCATTCAAACACTCCATTGCCTAAAGCTGTAACTTTCTTAAAACAACAAATGTTATATGCTCTCATTCTCCTATTAAGTTCTATTTTCTTATCATTCTATTTCTGTTTGCTATTTTCTTACCAATTTTTAGCAGTTATTGTCAATATCAATTACTAATGAGTTGAACAGTAAGTAGAGAGGGTTGTAATCCAAGGCAAGGTTAGAAAAGATTGGATTAATTACGAATAAGACATCCACTCTGGAAACTAAATGAAATTTGACAATGATTCAGATCTCTACTGTTAGACTACAAATTGTGCAGTGTAGTTCATTGCCTCACTCTACCTGTAAATATATGAAGAGGATTGTACTTTAAATACATTGTGGTTGATAAAGTAGACCTTTGTGTACTTACCTTTACAGTTTGTAAGATCCATCCTGGTCCACTGTCAAAACGATATACTGTTTTATTATATGGAGAGAAAATATAAAGCTGATGTGCAGAAAATCCAGGACATTTAGAGTTTGGTATGTAATAGAGTATGGTTACAATGTCTGTGACCTCCTAAATCACTAAATATAGGCCTTCCATTCTGCCCTGACATGACAGG